CACGGTTTCTTATTGCTATCACCTACTTACAACTGAAAAGAAAATCTCCGGCCACTTCTACGTTCATCCCCTCGTTGCCTCTCACTTTGTCAAACCATCACCAAAGCCACTGCTTTAAGTGAACAAAAAACATTCAATGCAAGACGATAGAACAGCGTTAGACATTTCTGAAGTGTTTCAAAATCTAAAGTCTCTCTTCATTTAGCCAAGTATATCAGCATTAACCGCTGGTTTCCTTGTAAATGTAAAGAGCGTCACTTTAAAATCAGCAGTGCTTACGTGAATTTTATTCTTTCTATCTCCCATTTGCGAAGGAGTTCCTTAACTTCGAGAACAGAAACAAAAATTCTGCTGAAACTCAGATATGTAAGGCAATTTACAGCACTCAATAGATGTGTCTCATCTTCAGTCAATTCTTAAGCACTTAAACACTCGCTTTACAATACAGCATAAAGGGTCTTCCTGACAGAAGCTACAGATGTGGACCTATTACCGTCTCTAGAGGATTCTCCTCTAGAAAAAGTGTGTCCAGGACAACTTTATGATTTCAGTTGAAATCACAGAAAGAGAAGCCTAAATCATCTGTACTTCTTAAACACAAATTAAATGAAGTTGGTTATAATAACTATATGAAAGTAGTTGAATTACTCATTCACACTGTATACAAAGACAGCTCTGAACTGCTACCAGAAACTAGCCAAGAACAGATTCTTATATTGAATGCGTCACTTTGATAGTTTTGCAGTGAATAAAAAGAAAAAAAAAATCACTCCATTTGCTCAGACAACAACGGAGGGAGAAGGAAGCTAGTTGTGCTTACAGGAGAAGAACAACTCCGTAAGTAGTCCTGTCAAACAGCAGCAACTCAAGGCTTTTCCTCTACAGCCCTGGAATTACCCCAACTGCTGTTAAACCCTGGAAAAGGGGCCAAGTTCTGTCCTCCTGTCACTTGTGCGGGTCTGTTTTGCAGGTTTGCTCTGCTGCTTTTATGCTCTCGCACAGGTGATTCGAGTGTTTACTACAAATAAGCACAGGCAGAGGCAGTTCTCTGTCAGAGCTGTCTTAAACCCAGCCTGCCACCGTCCCCTGGCCGGGCGCTCCGCACGCGGTACATGCTGTGCTAGTGAAACGCTTATCCGTGCAGCGATTTGGCTGCCTGGTGCAGCAGCCACCATTGGCTCGTTCCCTTCTGTTTTAGCTCCCAAGAGCCAGCGATGCGATATCGCTACTGGAATGCGCAACAGCTTCGCTGATGGTGCTGGCTGCGGAGGGGGAAGGGAAAAGCAAAAATTCTCTTTGGGGAAAATCAACAGTCCTACAGCAAATTTGTCCTTCACTAGGGTCAGTCTAAGATTAGGGTTCCTTTTAGGCTATCCGTGCCCTGATGTAAAAAGAACCCACCTTTTCCTCAGTCCAGTTCTCAATACCTGTTAATTTCAACTCCACCTTTTCACCCCAAAAATCTGAGGTTTGAGGGGCTTTAAGTCCTCTTCAACCTGATTTAAATGTTCTGAGACCTTCAGATTTCATTAAGAGCGGACTGATGATCTATCAAGTACAACAGTCTGTCACCTGAGGTCACGGAGTCCTTTGTAACAGCTCTTAAAACAGGGATCAACTCTTCGACTAAGTCAACTCAAACTCAACCCATGATAGTTACAGGAGGTTAAAACCAACCAGAAATAGTCAGAGACAATTACAGAGGGCTATAAAATTCCAAAAAGCTCATCCTTCCCAACATGTGCTTTGCTCCAGAAACAAACAGTACTGTCTGATTTGCTAAGCAAATTTGAGTTTATCTGGATCCCACTAGCACAATAGCTCAAAGCTGAAAGGCTGAAGGAATTAGTACTTTCACTATTACACTATTTTAATGATCAAGCTCCCCTTTACAAAGTTCATGTTTGCTCTCCTGAACACGAGCAAACAAAGCAAAATGCCAAATAACTAGTTAAATTCATCAGCCACAAAGGTTTTATTAAGAATCAAGCATTACATACTGCTCCACAGGCTAAATAGCATTATAAACGCATTTAGACGTGTCATTTGCACAGCAAACGAAGAACAAACTGACGAGCATTTCTAACAACACAAGCAAGACCACTATCACAACGGCTTACAAACACTACAGCACCCTCAACCTGCACCACACAAGAAGGGGTAACAACGTTACGCTGCCGCCCTTTAATCCTATTAACCTAAAACAATGAAAAAAGCAGTCTTAGTTTATTTTTAAAGTTCAGAAAAAGTTACGTTAGGATAATTCAAATAAGGGGAGTATTAAATTCTTGCTGTCAGAAAAATGCCTGCTTCAAACTCCAAGAAGCAGCGGGGAGGCAGCGGTGGGGAAGGATGGGAAGCGCCTTTGCGTGAACGTCCTCAGCTCCAGATAACACAGTTTCCAGACATTCACCAACAGGCCCGAGGACATTTTTCTACCCAAAGTTGCCAGTCGAGATTTTACGTCTCAAGCTATAAATTAAGTTTTAAAAGCTGCTCTGGACTGGGAGGTGCTGCAGCCACTGCATACGCAGACTTGCGGCCACTAACTTTTCCCAAACATCACAGGAGGGGTTTGAAGACAGCAGCAGTTTCTCACGAGATCATTTTGACCAAGCAGCATCCCATCCCAAAGGGCATTTTTAAGACTTCTGAAGGCAAGTCTGCTTAAAAGACAATATTGCAGGTGAAAGCTAATAAGACCTTAACTTAATCCTTACTTCCCAGAGGATCCTTACTCTGCGTTATAGAGAATATCCCTGCTACAGGCTTGGCTTTCCCATTCACTTCAGCCGTTCACACCCTTCTTCAGCCGTTCACACTTACTACTTGAAGCCTCAAGAAAAAGACACCTCTCCTCCCTGAGCAGAGAGCTTCAATTTCAGGCTACATCAAAAGCGACAAAAAAGCGCCTGCTGTTTATTAAAGTCCCTTTTGAAGGGCAAGACTCAGTTATGATCTACTTGTAGCTAACAGAAAGAGCTACCTGCTACCTCTCTGAGCCTTCAAGTATATTTAGTGGTACTGGTTATGAATATGCAAACAAACCCCTCCACGACACTCCTTTCCTGCAGAGGGTCAGGAGACATTTGCTTGTATTGACCACAGCAACAGGCTGCGCAGGGACAGCCTGGGTGAGTTTATGTTGACACTGCTGCTCAAGTTTTATTTCATAAAAGCTACAATAGCCAGGGCCCTGCTGCGTTATCAGAACGGCAAACAGTTTAGCAGAATCTCACTTGAGCTCGGTTCTAAACTCTTAGAAACTTCAGAGCTCAAATGAACCGAGGATCAGAGATCGGACAGCCTGCCACAGACCCTGGCGTGAAGCTTCCATGGCAGCAGCTCCTTCCCACCCTCGCCACTGCCTCTCAAGGCTTTTACCTTGCTGCCTGCGGCAGAAGCGGTCCCCGATACCCAAGAACCAGAACATGACAGCATTAAACAACCCCCGCTGCTCCCCTCGCTCCCCCCCCCCCAAAGAGCGAGCGGCTGATCACCGAGTCGCTATCCCCGCTGCTTCCA